AACCCTACCCCTCCCAATCCCCCCAACACCCCTCACCCCTCCACAAAACTCCCCCCAAAACCCCCTCCCCCCTCCCACACCTCCACCCAACACTCCTCACCCCTCCACACCCCCCCCAAACATTCCCTCCCACAACTAAACCCAACACCCTCCCCCCTCCACCACCTCCCCCCAACACTCCTCACCCTCCACACACCCCCCCCCCAAAACACTCCTCACCCCTCCCCAAAACTCCACCAAAACACTCCTCCCCCTCCACCCCACCACCCAAACCCCTCCCCCCTCCACACAACTCCACCCACCCTCCCCCTTCCCAAACTCCCCCCAACACCCCTCACCCCTCCACAGACCTCCCCCCAACCCCCTCCCCCCTCCACACACCCCCCCAAACACCCCTCCCCCCTCACAGCCCTCCACCCAACACTCCCACCCCTCACAACCCCAACCAACACTCCTCACCCCCCCACGACCCCCAAACCCAACACCCCTCCCCCCCTCCCACACCCCCAAACTCCTCCCCCCTCCACACACCCACGCAAACCCTCCCCCTCCCCCCCTCCTAAAACACTCCTCCCCCCTCCAAGCCCTCCCCCCAACACCCTCACCCCCCCCACAACTCCCCCCAACACTCCCCCCCCCTCCACAGACCCCCACCCTATATATCCCCCCTCCACGACCTCCACCCAACACCCCTCCCCCCTCACACACCTCCCCCCAACACTCCTCACCCTCCCACCCCTCCCCCCAAACACCCCTCACCCCCCCACACCCCTCCCCCAAACCCCTCCCCCCCCCAAAACCCCTCCACCCAACACTCCCCCCCCTCCCACCCTCCCCCAAAAACCCCCTCACCCCTCCACACATTTCTACCCCCCAAATCCTCACCCCCCAACACCTCCCCCCCAACACCCCTCACCCTCCACACACTGCACCCAACACCCTCACCCCTCCACACACCCACGCAACACTCCTCACCCCCCACACCCCTCCCTCAACACTCCTCCCCCCTCACAGCCTCCCCCCAAAACACTCCTCCCCCTCCAACAACTCCACCAACACTCCTCCCCCTCCAAGACCTCCACCTATCTACTCCCCCCTCCACAGACCTCCACCCAACACTCCTCCCCCCTCCACACACCCCCCCCCCCCCACCCCCCCACACACCCCCACCCAACACCCCCACCCCCCCAAAACCCCTCCCCCAACACCCCCACCCCTCCACAACCCCCACCCAAACTCCTCCCCCCCCACACATTTCTACCCCCCAACACTCCTCCCCCCTCACACACCTCCCCCCAACACTCCTCACCCTCCACACCCCCACCCAACACTCCTCACCCCTCCACACACCCCCCCAAAACACTCCCACCCCCCCCACACAACTCCACCCAACATCCCACACCCCTCCCCCCAACATCCTCCCCCCTCCACACAACCCCCCCAACCCCCCTCCCGCCTCCCCCCAACACTCCTCACCCCCCCAAAAACCCCTCACCCAAACCCCTCACACCCCCACAGATCCCCCCAACACCCCTCCCCCCGCCACACACCTCCCCCCAACACTCCTCACCCCCCACAGCCCCCACCCAACACCCTCACCCTCCAACACCTCCACCCAAACCCCTCCCCCTCCACGACCTCCCCCCAACACCCCTCACCCCCCCCACCTCCCCCCAACACTCCTCACCCCCCCACACACCTCCACCCCATCTCCCCCCTGCACCCAACACCCCTCCCCCCTCCACGACCCCACCCAACACTCCTCACCCTCCACAAAACTCCACCCAACACCCCTCACCCCTCCACAACCTCACCACCACCCTCACCCCTCCACCCAACTCCCCCAACATCCCCCACACCCCTCCACCCAACACCCCTCATCCACATGTTAGTGTTATCTAGCTTATTAGGAATTAGAAACATGTGCAACACCTGGTATCTTTATTTGAAGATGTTTCCCCAATCAGGGGGCTTTTCGTTCAAGCAAAGGGGTATTCGACACAGTAGAAGATTTGTAATCACCCCTAGCCTTGCGGAATTACACAGGATTTGAAAAAAAAGGCAGGAGCCCCCAGCCTGGTTTTCTGTGTCTTTCCCTTTCATGGGAATCTTTTTGCATAGGTAACAGATTTATCCAGACAAAGGGACGTTTTATCAGGATATATGGATCAGTGAGGTGCACAATTAAAGGATGTCGCAGGTGGGGGGGGCTCGCCCCTGGGAGTAGGTAAATGTCCAGAGAGGCCAAGGTTAGTAGTTGGTCAAAAAATTTCCCTCTCGTCAGTTAGTGGTTTTAAATGTTCATGTTTTAAACATGATGTGAAGAGAGTTTTTTAAATACAAGGGGTGACATGTTGTGTACAGGTACTTCAACAAGGGCACAAGTTCACTGTGTCATTAATCCATAAAAAATAAAGATTAATGGAAATTCTGAGTTTATATACAGAGCTTACCAGTGTTATTGTCGATAATAAAATAATAAACTTGTTGTTCATATAGACCGAGAACTTTCTCTTGGGTATTGCACTGAGAGGAGTTTGTTGGTTTAGTGAGGTTTAAACACCATAAACTGCACGAGGGTAATTAAGACTTCACTTAAACATCACCAATCAAGATTGCTTTATTCCTTAATGTTTGGATTAAAGTATATCTGTATACTTATATGGACATAAATTCCTCTGGGTGTATAACCTTGGCTACCAACAAGTGGGGGAGCTACCATAAAGATAGTTTTACTCCAGAACTACGTTGTGAAAGAACCAGGGTGGGGTTTTCCCAGGTTGGGTTGAAGGGTGAGGGCAGCACTTCCCCCCCCGTGGGGCAGTAGTCACTTGGTACTGTAGGGCGGTGTCGTGGGGGAAGGTATTGTGTTTGTGTTGTGTGTTGTATAGTGCCCAATGTTTGTTCTTTTGACCCCGTCTACTGGGGTCTCCCGGGACGGTGTCACAGGGGCGCAGACATTGCAGGGGTGCAAGTGTGTCGTGGTTGTGGTGGGAACTACTAACCTACCAGCCTCTGATGGTACCCGTTAGGAAAGTGTTCTGGCTGTTGCTGCTGCCTCTTCTAAATGCTGTAAATGAAATTAGCAGGGCTGTGGGCGAGACGTTGACACTGGTGTGATGTGTGGGCGAGACGTTGACATGGTTGTGTTATTTAGCCAAGAACAAGTTAAAATTTTGTATGTATGGGTGAATTATTTAATGGGAGGGTGATTGTTTATGTGGATGGGGGTTGTTTATGGGGGAGGGGGATTGTACAAGAGAAGCATCACCCCGAGCTCTTCAGACTGGGAGATCTATGATGTCCTCTGGGAGACTGACATCATTCAGGTGCTTACTGACACTCGACTCCCCTTCTTCCCTACACCCCATTCTAACATCCCTACACCCCCACTCGCAGTGTGGAGTGTGGTGGACCAAGAATGATTCACTGGTAGTGTGTTAAGTGCGGCATTCACGTCATTTGTAAGAGATTGTCTGAAGTGACTGGCTCAAGTAGGTGGGGGTTGTGTGGGGGATCTAGTGGGGTGTCAGGTGTGGGCGGGTATGCCTGTAATATACCTTTGATAGGTTTCGAGAATTTTCCTACTCCCGGAGCTCAGCCATGGACCAGGCTTTCCTGGTCAACCAGATTGTTGCTGCTGGTAGCCCACTGCTCCACATATTCATCACAACCTGGTTGATCTGGCACCTGGTGAAGGTACTTGTCGTGTTTCCTCTTGAAGACTTCTACACATGTCCCAGCAGTGTTTGATACCTTCCGGTAAGTTGCTAAACATTCTGGTACCATGAATGTTGATAGTGTTCTCTTATTGTGCCCACGGCGCCCATACTTTTCACTAGGTATGTTTTACATATTCTTCCATCTCTCCGCTGCATGACCCTTGTCGGTTTAGCGCTTTCTTTGATTATAATCTTCCATCTCTCACTCCAGTATGTTGCTATGGCAGTGTGCGGATCGGAATTTCTTTACGCTTTCAAGTATTGTCCATACTATCACATCTCTCTCCGCTCCAGCGAGTACATATTGAGAGGTTTGAGATGTTCCAAGTAATTTAAATATTTTTTTGGTTCTGTAGGCCGTAAATGATCTGTATTTGTTCCAGCTCTGATGTCTTCTGCTGTGAAAGGAGTCGTCAACACGAACAATATTCAAAGCGAGAGAGCATAGACGAATAGTGTCACCATTGGAACTATTTTCCTTGTTCTGAAAGGTCTCTCTATCCTTGTGCTCCTTGAAAGAAAGGTTAGCTGACGTGACTGCAACCAGATCCTTCACAAATTCTTTCGTTCTGTTTGGTGATCCTTTTGAGTTTCGTCCCTCGAGTTCTTCATTCCTTCCATATATAGGCAGTTGGAACTTGTCGCTATTTAACACCATTTACCCCTCAAGGAAGGTTCCTTGACGCTGGTGAGGGGCTCTTGATCTAGGGAATTGGATCTGTGCTCCGGTTCCCCTAATTGAGCCTTAATACCTTATATTCCCCCCCCCACGTCATTCTGTCATGTCATGTCATTCTGTATTTTCTTGGAATTTCCCCTCGTCTTCTACTTATGGTATCAACCTCACATGATACAACACTGTCGAGTGTTATCTGTCAGCTGTGAGGAAAGATACCAGGATCGTGCCTTGGGGGACTGAGCTTCTTACTTCGCTGGATTTTGCTCTTGGTCTTGAAGACTACGGTGCTCATCACTAACTCCAAGACTGAGGGACTGATTACCTCGTCTTTCGTATATAGTTCGTCTTAACCAATATGTCCTTGAATTTGCAGTGCCGAAACGTCTACAAAAAGATACCCGGATGTTGAACATGTCTAAACGAGTGTGATGGGTAAAAAAGACAGAATGGCATATCAGAATTTAAAATTTCATACTTTAATTACCTTACAGAAACCTCGGTGATGTTTAGCCATTATTTTTGTGTTAATTTTCAGTTATTTCAGTGTTGTGCGCTCATGTGTGCGCTTTATACATGTCTGGACTCGTGTGTAATAACCTTGTGTTGTAATCTTTACAGGACGCAAACCTGTAACCTCGTCATGTCCAGTGTGTGGACTAACACTCAGAACTGGTGAGATGGAAGCTCACTTCACCCAGGAACTGGACAAGATGGTACGTCTTCCACAGTCTCGCCCACTCGCCCAGCGCACACCCACTGCACCAGCCTGCACCAGCCCCACGCCCTCCACCTCCACTGAGGGTTACAGCAACACGCCCACAGCCAAGCCTAGGCCTGCCAACTCGGCTCCTCGCCACGGCGAGGGATGGAAGGTGAGTAGCTCGCTCACTCTCCAGTATTACCAGCATGAATTAGCCTTCACACGTTTAGGTTAAGACTTGAATATTGTAGTCAGTGGGATGTCTGTTGAGACCTCGGTACCCTATAATCACCGAGGTTTCTGTTGAGGTACAAGTGTCGGTAATCACCAGCGTGTCTGGTGAGACCTCGGTGACTTTTTAAACAGCTATTTAAAGTAAATAAACGCTTGTCTTTGTATAGCCATAAAATACTGTGTAACTAAAGAGCAACATTTCCCAGGAACATTCACTGTTACGTGATGTGTTGCTTCACATAAAATATGCAGCTTTAAATGAATAACAGGAATTAAAATATTTCTTACAAACGTTTAAAAAGCATAAAACTAATTATAAAGGACGTATCAAGTAAAAGTGAAAAAACTAACACTGGCGAGTTTCCCAGCGACACAATACAATCACTGGGAATTAAACAGAAGAAGAAACATAACTTGGTAGAGGCGGCCAGAGTAGCAGACACAACACAGGTCATAACGGAGGAGCCAACAGTACAAACAGATCGCTCAAGCTCTGACGCAAAAGAATTTAAAAGCTCGTTGAGAAGCAAGTTTACCCAAGTTTATCGGAAAAAAGCATGACCGTCACAGCTGGTATGAGAAAGGACTCGGAGCAGGAAGATCATGACTGTCACAGCTGGTATGAGGAAGGACTCGTAGCAGGAAGATCATGACTGTCACAGCTGGTATGAGGAAGGACTCGGAGCAGGAAGATCATGACCGTCACAGCCGGTATGAGGAAGGACTCGTAGCAGGAAGATCATGACTGTCACAGCTGGTATGAGGAAGGACTCGTAGCAGGAAGATCATGACTGTCACAGCTGGTATGAGGAAGGACTCGGAGCAGGAAGATCAAGACTGTCACAGCTGGTATAAGGAAGGACTCGGAGCAGGAAGATCAAGACTGTCACAGCTGGTATAAGGAAGGACTCGGACCAGGAAGATCAAGACTGTCACAGCTGGTATGAGGAAGGACTCGGAGCAGGAAGATCATGACCGTCACAGCTGGTATGAGGAAGGACTCGTAGCAGGAAGATCATGACTGTCACAGCTGGTATGAGGAAGGACTCGGAGCAGGAAGATCAAGACTGTCACAGCTGGTATAAGGAAGGACTCGGAGCAGGAAGATCAAGACTGTCACAGCTGGTATAAGGAAGGACTCGGAGCAGGAAGATCAAGACTGTCACAGCTGGTATGAGGAAGGACTCGGAGCAGGAAGATCATGACTGTCACAGCTGGTATGAGGAAGGACTCGGAGCAGGAAGATCAAGACTGTCACAGCTGGTATAAGGAAGGACTCCGAGCAGGAAGATCAAGACTGTCACTGCTGGTATGAGGAAGGACTCGGAGCAGGAAGATCATGACTGTCACAGCTGGTATGAGGAAGGACTCGTAGCAGGAAGATCATGACCGTCACAGCTGGTATGAGGAAGGACTCGGAGCAGGAAGATCATGACTGTCACAGCTGGTATGAGGAAGGACTCGTAGCAGGAAGATCATGACTGTCACAGCTGGTATGAGGAAGGACTCGGAGCAGGAAGATCGTGACTGTCACAGCTGGTATGAGGAAGGACTCGGAGCAGGAAGATCGTGACTGTCACAGCTGGTATGAGGAAGGACTCGGAGCAGGAAGATCGTGACTGTCACAAGCTGGTATGAGGAAGGATCGGAGCAGGAAGATCGTGACTGTCACAGCTGGTATGAGGAAGGACTCGGAGCAGGAAGATCGTGACTGTCACAGCTGGTATGAGGAAGGACTCGGAGCAGGAAGATCAAGACTGTCACAGCTGGTATGAGGAAGGACTCGGACCAGGAAGATCGTGACTGTCACAGCTGGTATGAGGAAGGACTCGGAACAGGAAGATTCGTGACTGTCACAGCTGGTATGAGGAAAGGACTCGGACCAGGAAGATCGTGACTGTCACAGCGGTATGAGGAAGGATCGGACCAGGAAGATCGTGACTGTCACAGCTGGTAGAGGAAGGACTCGGAGCAGGAAGATCGTGACTGTCACAGCTGGTATGAGGAAGGACTCGGAGCAGGAAGATCAAGACTGTCACAGCTGGTATGAGGAAGGACTCGGACCAGGAAGATCGTGACTGTCACAGCTGGTATGAGGAAGGACTCGGACCAGGAAGATCGTGACTGTCACAGCTGGTATGAGGAAGGACTCGGACCAGGAAAGATCGTGACTGTCATAGCTGGTATGAGAAGGACTCGGACCAGGAAGATCGTGACTGTCACAGCATGGTATGAGGAAGGACTCGGACCAGGAAGATCGTGACTGTCACAGCTGGTATGAGGAAGGACTCGGACCAGGAAGATCGTGACTGTCACAGCTGGTATGAGGAAGGACTCGGACCAGGAAGATCGTGACTGTCACAGCTGGTATGAGGAAGGACTCGGAGCAGGAAGATCATGACTGTCACAGCTGGTATGAGGAAGGACTCGGAGCAGGAAGATCATGACTGTCACAGCTGGTATGAGGAAGGACTCGGAGCAGGAAGATCAAGACTGTCACAGCTGGTATAAGGAAGGACTCTGAGCAGGAAGATCGTGACTGTCACAGCTGGTATGAGGAAGGACTCGGAGCAGGAAGATCGTGACTGTCACAGCTGGTATGAGGAAGGACTCGGAGCAGGAAGATCGTGACTGTCACAGCTGGTATGAGGAAGGACTCGGAGCAGGAAGATCGTGACTGTCACAGCTGGTATGAGGAAGGACTCGGAGCAGGAAGATCGTGACTGTCACAGCTGGTATGACAAAATCACTGACTTTGGAAGGAAATTGTGAAGGTTTGCCTCTCAAGGGAGGTTCCTTGATGCTGGTGAGGGGCTCTTGATCTAGCGAATTGAATCTGTGCTGCAGTTCCCTGAATTAAGCCTGAATACCTTCCACATCCCCCCACAGGCGCTGCATAATCTTACGGGTTTAGCGCTCCTCCTTGATTGTAATATATAAGTGTGATCTACACGTATTTTTCAAGACGGTTGACAGATACGACCATACAGTGACGTACCTACTGACCACAGTGACGTACCTACTGACCACAGTGACGTACCTACTGACCATACAGTGACGTACATAATGACCACAGTGACGTACCTACTGACCATACAGTGACGTACATAATGACCACAGTGACGTACCTACTGACCATAGTGACGTACCTACTGACCATAGTGACGTACCTACTGACCATAGTGACGTACCTACTGACCATACAGTGACGTACCTACTGACCATACAGTGACGTACATAATGACCACAGTGACGTACCTATTGACCACAGTGACGTACCTACTGACCATAGTGACGTACCTACTGACCACAGTGACGTACATACTGACCATACAGTGACGTACCTACTGACCACAGTGACATACATACTGACCATACAGTGACGTACCTACTGATCACAGTGACGTACATACTGACCATACAGTGACGTACCTACTGACCACAGTGACATACATACTGACCATACAGTGACGTACCTACTGACCACAGTGACGTACATACTGACCATACAGTGACGTACCTACTGACCACAGTGACATACATACTGACCATACAGTGACGTACCTACTGACCACAGTGACGTACCTACTGACCATAGTGACGTACCTACTGACCACAGTGACGTACATACTGACCATAGTGACGTACATACTGACCATACAGTGACGTACCTACTGACCACAGTGACGTACCTACTGACCATACAGTGACGTACCTACTGACCACAGTGACGTACCTACTGACCATACAGTGACGTACCTACTGACCACAGTGACGTACATACTGACCATACAGTGACGTACCTACTGACCACAGTGACATACATACTGACCATACAGTGACGTACCTACTGACCACAGTGACGTACCTACTGACCATAGTGACGCACCTACTGACCACAGTGACGTACATACTGACCATACAGTGACGTACCTAATGACCACAGTGACGTACCTACTGACCACAGTGACGTACATACTGACCATACAGTGACGTACCTACTGACCACAGTGACGTACATACTGACCATACAGTGACGTACCTACTGACCATACAGTGACGTACCTACTGACCATACAGTGACGTACCTACTGACCATACAGTGACGTACCTACTGACCATACAGTGACGTACCTACTGACCACAGTGACGTACATACTGACCATACAGTGACGTACCTACTGACCACAGTGACGTACATACTGACCATACAGTGACGTACCTACTGACCACAGTGACGTACATACTGACCATACAGTGACGTACATACTGACCATACAGTGACGTACATACTGACCATACAGTGACGTACCTACTGACCATACAGTGACGTACCTACTGACCTCTGTGGGGAGCTAACAGTACAAGTAGACAAAATGGATATTAAAATGTATTTCCTAAGGCTCACTGAGTGGTGGTAAACAAAACTTCAATCTCGTTAAAACAAAATAAAACTTAGTACCCCAAGGCTTGGTCCTGGCTCCTCCTCAGGTTTCTCACCCTCGTTATAAACATTGATGACAACACTAACCAAAGTTTAGTATAATTTTTTGAGGAAGAAACGAGTTATGAAATTTCTTCTCAGTAGAAGACATATATATATATATATATATATATATATATATATATATATATATATATATATATATTATATATATATATATATATATATATATATATAATATACGTACATCAACAGTTTCCCAGTGTTGAAATGAAAGTAACATGTTCACTGATGATAAATTTCAACTGTTTAAGAATGAGAAGAACTACAAGTGAGCACAGGAAGAACAGTTCACAGAACATCAGAAAGGGTGAAAAACTTGGGAATAATCGACAGATCATCAGTCATGTAGACTGCTGTATAGCCCTTGTGGCTTAGCGCTTCTTTTTGAGTATAATAATAATCAGTCATGTAGAGAACACACCACAGCATAT